GCGGCCGCGGTCGAGGTCGAAGCACTCTTTGAGATGTTTCGAAAGCGACCAGATGCGGAACGATAAGAGAGACAAGACAGAGAGGCAACAGGGAGGAGGAGGAGGAGGAGAAGAAGAAGGGCGCGCGAAACGGGAAGGGAAGAGAAGAGAAGAGAAACGCGGAAGAGAAAGCTCGCGCGGCAAGATAATGGGAGAAAGGATGCGAAAAGGGGTGAGACGAGGGTGAGGCGAGGTGTGGCGCGGTGTGCCGTGACGAGGAGAGGCGAAGAGAGGCGAGAATAGCGGAGGCTCGTCGAGAGAAAGACGAGCAGAGATGGAAACGAGGAGGTGTAGATGGGTACAAAAGCACGAGATATTCAACCCTATCGGATCGTATATATCTGCTGCACCCTCCCACCCCATAAATTGATGCCAATGTACCTACGTGGCCCCGGCACGTTATACGTCTGAATATTACGCACACTCGGCCCTATGGACATCAGGGGTGGCAAGAGGTGGCAGCGGGTGGGACTAGGGTAGCAGGGAACAGGAAGAGGAGGAGGAGGAGGAGGAGGAGGAAGGGGGCAGCGGGAGCGGGTGCGGTGCTCCGAAGGGCAGCCAAAGCGGAGAGGTACGGTAAGAGGGGTGTAGGCTGCCGCGTACCTACACGAGTCGCACACCATACCTCGGTTATACCGTATAGAAGACAATTAAGTAAATGAGCACGGGTTGCGCGCGCTATAGATACCCTCTATTATGTGTATTGATCTCTAGCACGGACTCCAGTTACACGTAATACGTGTTTTGTCATTTGCGCGTTCGTACGTAGCTGCCTGCCGATCCTCGCTTTGCACGGGAGAGCGTGTGCAAGTGCGCGGAATAGATGTATCGGGGGCTACGCGGAGAAAAGAGAACCGTCGGGAATCGGATGAAATCGCGGGGAACCAACTGGAACGAGGGAATCGGATGTTACGCCGAGGCGTACAGCGCGGTACGCATCGTCCATTCCGCGTCGTACGTCGAGGTATCGCGTTTTCCGACCCAACTTTTCCAACGGAATCCGTCCTTTTCGGTCTTCGTTTATACGACTTCCTTGCACGTTCCGCGCGAAAACGATTCGCGGTTAGCGCGTTAAACGGCCGGATACACGCTCTCTCTGGCATCGTCCGATTCTTCGATGCTTTCCACACGGCATCGTACACGTAGATACATTTTAATTCGCCTACGAAAGGCTTCGGGCAAATGAAATCGGTAAACTCGCGCTGGCGAACAGACACGTAACCCCGCGTCAACGGGAAACGGAAAGATAGTTATCCGACGAATAGGTAAAAACGATGGAAGGGGCCGGGGAGAGGCGATCACGTAGACGCCATAGTTATTTATTTTCCCGAGGCTGATTATAATATTACGCAAGTGGACGGTATACCGGAGGTTCTCGTAACGCGGATGCAAATGCGGCGTGACGAACGAGCGAGGCAGCTCGGCAAATCTTCGGCCCGAGAGACCGTATTTTATTCATGCGTTAGTCCACTGGTCGCTGAAAAGAATCGGTCGCGTACCGAGCGTGTTCCTTCGTGCTCGCGCCAATCGTTTAACGGAGTAGCGATACATTTACAATTTAAACGTTTGTCACCGCATGGAAACGGAATCGCGCCGAAGCGATGGCGAGGGGTCAGAGCGGCATGGCAAGGAACAGAGAGAGACACACGCTACGGTCAAGAGAAGGGAAAAGAGAATTCGCGGCTCCACGTTATCGAACACGTGAGAATTAAAAGGCATTACTCGTTCCAAGATTCGTCGCGAATTTAGTTCGCGATCAGGTTTAATCGTCGTAACGTTCTATCGGAAATATGCAAACTGTTGCTCGATCTTTCTCGATATCTCGCAGAACGTTGCCGATCTGTCGCTAGAGGGAACGACAGTCACTGTCCCACAAACGAAATTGCGAACGCGACGCTGCCGATTCGATACCAACGAAAGAAGGAACTGCTCGCGCGTCGGAAATATCCCGAAGCAGGGTCGAACATTTATGGAAATTTTCGCTGCCACTCGAAGCGGCGCGAGCAAGAAACGCGGTGGCGATCTAATAACGGAAACGTAGTCCCGTAAAAAGGAGGCTTAATTTATGCGTTCTTCTAACAACGAAAGCGCGAACCCATCGCAGGGATCGCGTACCTTATTTCGTTCGAGCGTCGCGCGATAGAAAGCAACTGCGCGGATGAAGACATCGTTCTGCTCCGTAACGTCGATTTCTTTAATGACGGAAACGCAGCGTCACGAGAGGATCTCGTTCGATTCGTAGGCCGCATGAAATACCGGTTATACCGATAAAGACATTACGTATCCATCGGTCGCGTAGCAGCGTAGACCGCGTCGCGAGAGCGCTGTCCGTGCACCGATTTCCTTCCGTGCCGTCTATACACGGTACGAACGTATTCGTGCGCTCGCGCGCGCGACCACACACGAATGCTGCGGTATCGTGTACGAGATGCGCTTACGTAACCGGTTGTAAAGACACGTGCATCGAGCGAGTCTCTTCTCGTCGCTACCCGCTTATGCGCTCTTTCGCGTAACGATATATTATTTATATAAGCAGACCTGTCCCAGCAAATCGTTCCACTCTCGCGAATTACCGCCAGCGTAGGTCGCTAACGCGAATAATGGCCATCGTTCCGGTCGTTCGCGTCGGAATTTTCCCAAACGTACGGTCTCCGCGGCTGTCCTTCGATTCTTCTCGTTGTTCGTTCCGATCTCGACTATTCCAGCGACGACTGCTTCGAAACGATCGCCGAAAATATTCGCTCGACGTCGTATCGAAGAACGATCGGTAGGAAGCTCGCTAGGTCGAAGCGAGTATTCGGTCGAGCGATCGGCGAACGCGTTCCCCCCGCCTGTGTACGAGCTGTCCCTGCCGGAAGTGCGCGGCCTCGCGCGCCGTAACGTTATTTTCTGATTTCCCATTCATGGTCTACCGTTTAGTTTCGATTTGCCGCTTCGTTACGACGCTCGGAGATTTACACGGTCAGATAGGATTGTTGCGGCCTAACATCCCTTTCCGCCCCCTCCGATCTCCTCGTCTTCTTTACGTAGCCGCTAATATCCTCTTCCTTCGTTCGGTCCCTCCCGTACGCGGAGTACCGCAACCACCGCCCACCGTTCACCGTTCGCCGTTCACCGTATGCACCACCGTCTACCACGCGCCTATGTCTACGCCACGCTCGCTATCTTTTATATAACAGTCTTTCATCATCGGGAGCGATCTCCCTCGTTATCTCGCTGCGCGATCGCTTTTTTTTCTCCGCCGTTCGACCGATTTTTCCCGCGAGATAATTTGCTCGTCGCCTACTTTGCATTTCAAATGCACCGCGCGGATCGTTCTCTTTCTCCGGTTGTCGAAAACGACGAGTTTGAAAAAGTTGCGCGTCAAACATCGTCCGCTGCACGCATCGATATCCGTATCTCGTCTCGTCGCTGCGGAACGGAAATTTTTCCAGCGAACTCTGTTCCGGTAGAAAAGCTGGTCGAAGTACGAAACGCGTGGTCGATAAGGTGGAGAGAACGGGAGAGAGTAGGCGAGCGACCGACGAACGAAAAGAGACGGGGAGATAGGGAGGAAGGTGGGCAAAGGAAAAAGGAGAAAAAGGTAAAGAGCGTGGCGCACCGTGCCCGGCGAGTAATAAGTTAGTAATAATATTTTCACAATATCTCTCCTGGATTGGATGTTATTTCATTATATTTTATTGCCTCTTACTATTACTGTTGCCGGTGCGGCGAGCCCCGCACCCTCGGCACCCCTGCTCGACCAACGTCTACCTCTACCGTTTCCACCGTCGTCGCTCGCGTCCTAGTCGCTCCGTTTTATTATCTGGAACCTCTCCGCGCCGCACCGCGCCAAGGGAATTCACTCGCGGAACTCATTATCGAGGGGTTTATTCTGCTGTAACCGTTGCTACCCGTACTCCTTGTTTCTTCCCTCCGACTTTACTCGAACCTGCTCCTTTCTCCGCTTCGGTTCTTTTCTGCCGAAAATCTTCCTGCCCCCGACCGGCGGCGAACCGCTTCTATCGCGATCGCGTAACCGTTCGTTAAAACATATCCGATAAAAGGATCGCCGGCCGTTTGTCCTCTTACCTGCGCGTCGAGAACGAGAGCACGACGATAAAAGTAGGATACGGGAAATCTTTTAAAAGCATAGTTATTCGACAGATAAATCGCGCATTCGTTTCCGAACGGGCCATTCGATCGCTGGCTCGCTCCGATGTTTCCACGTTAATACGGCAAAGAGAATTCGAGGATGCAAATCGTGTTCGCGAATAGGGGCCAGATTCTTGGATCGTTCCCTACGAACGACTCTCGTAAAAGCCGTTATTGAATTCGTATCCGACGCTGTCCGATCCTGCTTCTTCTTCTTCTTTGTAGGCATTTATTCGTACAGTATTCCTCGAGTGACCCGTCAGTGATCGTGGACATTCTTTGCGAAGTGTGAACGAAGTGAATTCGGGTTGCAAATGGTGTCATGTTTCATTGAAATACGCATCATTGCTACCAGCATTTTATTTGATTTTCAGTCAGTCTTATATTACGCTTTCATTAGAAAGAACATATACAATTTTCTTTATAATTTAATTAAATTTTAATTAAAAATTCAGATTTTTGTAGAAACCTTTAAATTGAACAAAACATTTAATAACGAACAATTAATTAACATTTAATTAAATTACAAGGAAAATTGCATATGTTGTTTCCAATGTAAGGGTAACATAAAACTGACTGAAAATCAAATAAAATGCTAGTAGCATTGATGCGTTTTTCAATGAAACATGACACTAGTTGCGGCCCCAATTCATCACATTTACACTTTACAAGGAGTATCCACAATCACTAACAGGTCGCTCAGGTAATACTTGTACCAATAAATGCCTACAGTTCGCTTCTGCTTCTCGTTTGTCGCGGAAAACTTTGACGAACGACACTGATCGTTACGCTTCGATGTTGCAGCAGGTCACCGAGGAGAAGGCGGCTCATCTGGCGCATGGACACCGACCGGAGCGATGTACCTGTCGCGGAGGAAACGCGAGCATCGCTATCAACGCTATCGACGACGTCCCAAGACGCGTAATGCGTAGGTAAGCAGCAGTCCCTCGTAGGCTACTCGGTCGTCGAGAAATTTACCGCTGAAAATGTTCGTTCTCGCGATATCGTGAGTGTACGAACTCGACGACCGAAATAGCGTGCGTCGTCGTGAAATTGCAACGGACGATCATAAAAGTATTACATCATAGGCTCGTTGTTGGTCGCGCACGTGGCACGAGACACGCGGCACGCACACGCGTCTCGTACGCGTATTGTCGTGACATTGACGCAATTCCTATCTGTCGCGGCGACCACGCGATTCGCGAGTCTACCTCGAACGTCTCTTTCGATTCGCGATTAGAGTTGATCGCTCTAAAAACCGATCACAGAGTGTGACTAGTCCTGATCGCGTCCGTCCAGACGAAACCCTCCAAGGTATGCTTTTTTACCGATTCCGCGGAATCGTTTTTATACTCGAGTCGTAACGAGAGCACATTTTCTTGGAAGAAGAAAACTCGGAAATATCGCCAGGCTGCTCGCGGTGGATTATAATAAGCAAACGAGTCGGTCCCTCGGTCGACGAAAGAGCGGCGAGTAAACTTGGCATCGGAAGAGAACCGTCTGCTCGTATTAATATAAACTTGCCGTGACTAATACAACAATTTATCCAACGGCGAGCATTTAAACGGTTACGGCCTGCTCGTACATACCCGTTTATTCGGCCTGGCCGATTCGAGCCGAGCCGAGCGGAGCCGAGCTCCGATTCCGTCTCCGCGTTTACTAGCGCGCATTCAATTCGTTTCGCCGTTTTCGCGAATTAACTCTCTCGCCCACGTTTTCTTTCATCATCGACGTCTCTCTTTCTCCCCTTTTTTTCCTCTTTGCACGCACGCGCTTCTCTTTAACTCGATTCGACCCAGTTTAATCGAATTTAATCTAGTTTAACTTTATCCGATCCAGTTTAATCCAATCTTCGTTCGACCGTTCCTCTTCTTGGCGAGCATCGATTTTATGGCGTTTTTCGAAAAATATCCATCGACGTTTCCAACAGAACGGAATTTCATCGCGACGAGAACAGTTGGAAGAAAGTAATGCCGCGAATAGGCGCGTTTCGACAGTGACCGCCCTGTCGAAGTAACGGTAATTCGCAGCTATCGATGCACTCTGGAAATTCCACGAGCCTTTAACGATCATAGAACGGGCAATAAACTTGTAAAACGCTTCGATTTTGAGTCGACGAATGCAAACGCCGACTTTTCGGTAATTCGAACGGTGGTTAGGAAGAACGCGTACCCGTAAAAACAAAAGTCACGGTATTCGATGACTTCGTAAACTTGTCCTTTGCTCGAAAACGGAGTAGGTAGTTAATTGCTACTCGGAGCGATTTCAGAGTTTCTCGGAAGTGCGTGCTATAAAATGTGCTTAGAAACCCCCAAGGTTTATTGCTCGGACAAATGTACCGTGGAACGGAATGAAAGCCTCGAGCGGTCTCGGTGTACGGATTTCTAATTTCTAAAGTAATCGTTTATTATAACGACGCGGAGTAGAACCATCGTAACGATTACCTGTAATAACGAGCCACAATGCAGAAATTTTGGGTTTCCGAGCCAACTATTTACGGTAACGAGCCCGGGACAAAGGCCGGGAACGAGAGATCGAAAGAATGGCGACGTTCGAACGTTAATAGCGCGAGTCATAAAACTGTAACGATCGCGAAATAAAATTTTCCTATTTCAAAACGAATCTGTTGCGAAGAAATTGTTGGTGGATCGCGGGATGAAATCGAGCGGAAATTTAAAGAGTAGAATTTTTGAGAACGCGGAGATCGTGTTTCTTCGGATAGATTTACCGAGGCTCGCGCGGCGCCCCTGCCTGTTCGACGTTGTACGAGATATACGTATATGCACTTACATGTATACGTATGTATATTCTCGAACGGATCGTTCCGTCATTCGTACGAACACGTTGTTTCTTCTCCTGCTTTCTCTCCCCATGCGAGCGTTTACTTCGGTCTCTGTCGTGCCGCGACCCTCATACGTTTAATTGTTATATTTATAAAAGGGGAGGACCGGCATACACGGCGTACGCGTCGAAGGGATACGAGACGAGACGAGGCGCGCTTTTTCGGACAAGAGACCTCGCGCAACCCCTCGGTTTTACGAATCGATATTAACCCAGAACGTACGTTACTCGATTTTCTCGCGCTCTCGACGTTGGTCAAAGGCAATCGTCCGTCAACGGCAAAAGTACACGCGATTTTGCTCGTTGCCCTCGACGAGGCCAATTTCGTTCGATGCCTCGAACGTTCGCAAAATTCGACGGAACGAAAAAAATTTGCCGCTCGGAAAAGAATCCGAGGAGAAAACTACCGAGGCGTTCGAGAGATAACCGGGAGAGGAAGACGACGGGGTCGAAGAGCAGGATAGGTCGAGTATTGGACAACTAATTACCTAATCACTCATTATCTATCACAGGCTCGGAGAACGGTAGATCGTTGCTACATACGCGGCTAGAGGTTGCTGGCTCGTAGAATAGGTTGCCCCGAGGGCCATTGTGATACGCGAAGCAGAATCATGCAGGATCGTATATTATCGACGAGAGAAGGGGTTGAGGACGACGGACCCTCGATCCTCGACCCTCGACACCCCCTCGTCCTGTTAGTAGCGCCGATACCGTTAGCCAGATGCGTCGCGTCGTCGATGCTCGCTCGACGTTCGACGTCGTCCGAGAGATCGCTCGGTCCAGTCTTTCTTCGAGTTACACATTTTTTCTGGTCGCTGTGTTTCTAATAACAGCGACGCGATTAAAGTTTCTCGGGACTTCGGGAACTCGTTATTAAACGGCGTAACGAGCCAAGATTTATCAATATAACATACGATTCCGTCTACTACCGAGAACGCTTTCTCTACGATCTATTTTGATGGCAGTCGAATCGAGTATGCGAACGACCGTTTCGAAACACAGGCGCGTTTCAGAAATAGATAAACTCACCATTCGAAGCGTGTTCCTCCTATTTTAATCGCGCCGCTAAAACACGAGTAGCCAACGAACCCTACATGTTACTTAAACCTTTAATTTTTCACCGATCGACGAATCGTTTTGCTCAAACTCTGTCTTCGCCGTTTAATCGCTCGTCGAACAGAAATCTCTCGAGGCCGCTTCGCTCTTCCCGCTCGCTTTGATCGATCGTTTCGAGTCAAACGTCCACGATCTATGACTTATCCTTGACAATTGAATTCGTAAGCGCCGCCCGACGTAACTGCGAGCAGACGAAAAGTAAACATGGCGTGGCTCGAGAAGGGCACGATTTAAGGGCCTGGTCGGAACAAAGGCGTTATTTTTAGGCAGTTACCTCTCGACCATCCAGTATCACGGATCTTTCTTGCGATTCGACTCGATTTCCGCGAGAGACATCGCTCGTTCGTGTCACCGAATGCAACAAAGTTGATTCTTCGCGCGAACGAAAGCGACGAAACGACGTATCAAAGAAGTAGACGAAGGGGGCGGAAAAGGCAGGTGACGAAGTAGAAAAAGGGAGTAAGCGCGAGTAAGCAAGCATGGTCGAGCGATCGGAAATAAGTGGTACGATCGGGCTTTCGAGCTTTCTAGTAGCGCGTTTCACCTCGACACGGGGATGACAGCCGTTGAATAATAGAAGGAGCCACGTCGAGGTTAGATATTCTTACGATCACCGAGAACCCTTTCCTTCCAACGATACACAGCTAAATCCTCAATAATTCAGCCCTTGGCTCGAGCATTTTCCCCGTTTCCGATTGCATACAACTATATACCTATCCGTGGGCAACGTTAACCGCCTTCGCGAAACGAATACTCGCGATTATCGTAGTTTCGCGCGTTCGACGTCGAGCAAAGATCACCGATATTTCTTCGAGAGTCCGGCTCGCTTCGATTCGCGACGAATCGTTTCGGTTGCTCCGACGTCGTTCTCCGGACGAACGGGTTAACGAGATCGGCAGACATTTTAAAAGGACAGAGCACCGCCGTCGAGTGGTGTCTCCCTTCAATTATTCAGGTGCAATTAACACGTCAATAGGTCCGTTGCACCTTGCTGCCGGGGCCGGGCCGTCTTCCGCCAAATATGTACGTACGTTCGTGAAATGGCACGGACAACCGACTTCTCTCGCTTCTTCTTCTTCTTCCCAGTAGCTCGCTTCCTCCTCTCTCGTTTTCTCGCGCGCGACGACGGCGACCGTCGTTCGAGCAAAGGGAGGGAGGAAGCGTAAAAAGTTGTCGCGAATAAGAAATTTACGAAAAGAATTAGCCTTCGAATTTCGATGCTTTCGAGAGGCTTGACGTATCTCGTCGGCGAAAGAGAAAAAGCCGGCCGAGTCGAATCGACGAGCCTGGTTGTAACCGTTTAGGTGGATACATGTACGCGTAACCTAACGAACGTAGACGCATAGGTAGGTATAGCTGTGTATCGGTGCAGGTATAGAGAATGGCGCAAAAGGGAAGGAGGAGAGAAGCGAGACGGGGGATGAAATGCGGGGTCGCAAGTCGGTATTGTCGTCGGTTACAAATCAAATACCCGATATCATTGTTTGGTACAAGCCAGTATGGTTTGGTACAACCCGACCACCCACCCACTCCCCTTTTATGCCACCCCTTTCTGCAACGTTAACCTCGCCCGCAACCTGCCACCCTACCGCGCGACTACGACTAATAACTGCCACCAGAACGTTCTCCCTCGCTCTCTCCCTCTCTCTCTGTCTCCGCTTCTGTTTCTATCTCAGTCGCGTAAACCGAATTTCTTTTTTCGAGGCGACGAGCTTTCGCGAAAAGTCTGAAAATTTAACATCGCGAAGGGGCTAAGAGATTCGAGAGCGCGTTCGTTACGAATCGGGGGACGCGATTCGTACGGACGGAAGTCATCGAAGGAGAACGGAAGAACGGATGGAAGACTAACCGGGAAGAATTAACGACGTTGCGATCGCAGCGTCGATCGTAAAACCGGGTGACGACGGTTAATCGGCGAGTTCGTTACGAGCCGGTCGACGAATCTATTCGTGCATCGACGAGGATTCGAAATATT